GCTCTCAAAACCAAGTTATTTCTGCTAATTCATTTGGCGGAAAACCTGACCTGAAGCAACGTAAGACTATCTGGACTCTTCATTTATCCCCCTTTATGGGAATATGTGTATGTTTTGCTGCGCAAAATATTAACGTGTTTGGCAACAAGTGCTGTCCTGGACCCAGGCAAAGGTGATATGCTATGTGCATTGTATTCACCTTTCTAAATACCATAAAAAATCTGAGTTCGGAAATATGGCTGGCCTTAAGGCTTTCAGATAAGAGATTGTGGACCTCCGTTACCATCTCACAGTAAATGAAAATATTTTATTAACCATAATTCTGTATTGAAGATGTTTATTATTAGCACGATCAGAACACAGTGACAGAGGTAAATGAGGTCTTCCTGAAATAGAATTTTGTCATGTCACCCTCCTTTAAGTGCTCTCAGAAGTATCTTGTTTTTTATAGTTCTCATCCTGGAATTTCATACCTGCCGTAGGATGGTATCTGCCTAATGTTGTCTCCTTTGAGTCCCTTTTGTCTTCTTTCTGCCTCAACGCCTTTCTTTCAAAGTCAGTCACACAAGGCATCTTTGACTATGTCTTAACATGTGTTATTTCTTTTATATTCTGGAAAATCCTTTTTCTCTTTGTCAAAATTCTTCTAATTCTTCAAGATGGATTTGAGCTCCTACTATTTCCTACACTTTTTCCTGATAAGCTACAGGCCAGAGAGGGGTATATGTGTATGATTTTAATGTAAATATAGTTTACCTCAACTAAATTGTAATCCCTTTGCTAGAAGAGGCCCTCATAAACTTCTGAGCATTCATCATGATGTCTTTCATGATGATTTGCATTCATTAGATATGTTTGTCAGTGTTTGATTTTGGACTGGGGGAGTGGAGTGAGGATCTGGTACAGCCGCAAAAGTATATGTGATCTAATTACCAAATTGTTTGCTCCTTTTTATTTACTGTTTTAGTTAACGTACATCTAAGTAGCATAAGCCAAACAATACGATTGGGGGTTGGGAATGGGAATAAGGCTGCAGCCCTGTAATTTTCCACTAGTTAACAGGACATAGAAAGGGTCTGTATTGTTTTTATTCTTCAGTTTAACAGTGTGTGGTTGTTTTGGTGTTTTATTTCCACATACTCTTTTATATTAATGTATCCGTTTTTATTTTGAAATACTACATTTTAATAAATTTATACATTACAGCCATTTAAACAAAGCTATATTACCTTAAGGGACTAAAGCATTTTATTAAAATAATTTTAAAGGGCAAGAACTAACATTTGCTGAGCATCTACATATCCAATACTATTCTATATATTTAATATTATTTTCTTTAATCCTTAAATAATTCAGTGATATAACTTCTCTTCCTGTTTTACTTGTGAGAAATTGCCTAAGGGTACCTAGTGAATGATAGAGCTTATATTTGAAATCTTAGACTGTCTGGTTGTGCCAAAACATTGTTTACTTATGATTAGAGATTTGTAAAGAGCAGAAACAGAGAGAGTAACCGCTAAATAGAAGATGCTTAATTGTGTAAACTAAAAGGATCTTTTGGAATTGTGCTTTTGTTATTCTCACTGTGATTTTCAGTTTCATTCTTTGCCCATTATCCAAATTCATACTTAAGCTGCCATCTTTTAAGTTGTTCATTTATCAAAATGAACAAACAGAAACGTTGCAGGCTGAAACAACTGAAAGGAGAAAGAGTTGGTTGATCCTATGACGTTTTGGGGGGGAAAATTTAAATTCTATTTTTACAAAGAAATTCAATATTAGGCATTTAGTGTAGCCTTTAGATCAGCAAGTAAATTTTAATAGGAAGGCCAGTATTTGGGCATAGTACAGCAAAATTGGCATTAATTTATTAAATGTAAGATAATGCAGAATAATTATTTAAGATAATACTAAACTAGGAATAAAATCAAGTCAGACATGTTTTAATATATCATAAGCTTGTAAGAAAGTAGTATCTTAGAGTGTTACAATGCATAATACTTAGCACTGTGTGTTAGACACTCTCTGATGGGATGAACTCCCCCTAATAGAGAATAGAAGTTCACTGTTAAGTATATGACATTTTAGATAAGGTAGCAGTACATTTTCCAGGAGATGCAGTTGGAAATAACTGCAGTAGAAACTGATGAGACCTTAGATTAGAACTTTACATATTTCTTTTTTTTTTACATAAGATAATAGTAGAAGCTATAAAATTTGATAGGCTTTATTTTTTTAATCAGAGAGAGACAGAGCAGAGCAGGAAAGAAAGGGAGAAGTAGGCTCCCCGCTGAGCTGGAAGCCCGACGTAGTGCTTGATCCCAAGACCCTGGGATCATGACCCGAGCCGAAGGCAGACACGTAACCGACTGAGCTACTCAGGCACCCTGATTTGATAGGCTTTAAAGGATGGTTTGCAAAGAAGAACTCAGGAAGCCTTGGAAAATATCCAACCAGATTTGAAGAAGGAAGGGGAACCAGTAAAATGAAGAGATAAAAAGCTATCCTCGCTATAGATAAAGAGATAAGGTCACCCGGTGGCATGAAAATCCAGTGCATTTGGATGGTGGTTAAGAGTATCGAATGTTTAAAAAAAAAAAAAAAATCAAAAGAGCACAAGAACTGAGAAAAGCAAGGAAGTATCATTGACCATTTTCAGTAGATTTATTTCATCTGAGTCATTGGAAGTCAGTGGTAGAGAGTTAAGGGAATGAGTGGTGATAAGAGGTGGAGGCAGCTGTTACAGATCACATTCAAAGAATATGGCAGTAAAAACAGAATCATTCTACTTTTAAACTGTGTCTCTCTAAGTTGGGAGAAATTGTGTTATGATAAAGGCAGAAAAAAGGACCCTATGGAGAGGGAGATACTGAAGATCCTGGGAAGGAAGGAAGTAGTATTGAGAGGAAGTTCTTATAAGGGGGTTAGAGGAAGAGGCTGGAGGTCAAGAAATAATCTCTGTATTAGGATGCGGGTAAAAATACAGAGTTTTGAAAACTAAACTTTCCCTACTAAAATAAAGGTGTTTCTGTTGTATGTCTAATAAAGGAAAGATTTTCACTCTGATCACAGTTTCCAGGCAGTAATACAATGGGGCCAGAAATTCTTTCTTGGAGCTTTGCTTTTAAGAGGGATCAGAAATGTATTCATTCTCCAAAAATATGGAGTACTGTGGTTTTTGTTTTGTTTGTTTGTTTTTTTTAACATGGATTTAAAATTTGGGCAAGAATACCGTTCATTCATTCAAATGGCTAAGCTGTAGAATCTAAGGATAAGAACTGTTACATAAATTTTCATTTCCATTTTTAGGGAGGTTTCCTGAGTGTCTAAGGAAATTATCTCCTTTTAAAAATTATTTAACAAATATTTGTTGAGTTCTTTGTCAGACTAATAGTAGAAGTGGTCAGCACATAAATGGATGAATTAGGTTCCTGCTATTCTAGAAGTCACATTCTAGTTAGATATGTAAACAAATTATTGATCCTTTTTCTCTGCTTGGTACTTTTAAATACCAAAGTAATTTTAAGATATAACATAGACATAAAGTATGTCCAGGAATGATCTGTTGTAAGAAAATATGAATGTAAAAAATCTAGACTCATGTTTCAAATTAAGGAGAAATTATTAACTTTAAACAGTATTTAATATAGGAATTGGAAGAGTGTTTATTAATTCTTTTAAATACAGATTATATAGCTGGCTTAATGGAAGTCCTGTTGTATCTGATATGAACAGATAAACATTCAGTTAATATAATCTCTTCTATCAGATATAACTGAAATATTTATTGATATATGCAAGTGAAAATACAGGGATATAGCACAGTTTTCCTCACTCAGTTTTTAAGTACTTTGTTTTCAAGGTTTGGCTGTTCTTGGAAGGTCAGCAAGAATTTTAAAATTTTAGAGAGGAGAGATAAAGATAACATCTGGTTGTCATTCCGTTGAGGCACTCACAGTATTGACTTACGTAGACTATTTCCTACTAATTTTATGGATAAAAAAAATTCATACTTGCATAAAAGATTGTGATACTGTTTTTTAGGAGGGTGTGGGGCAGACATTGTTTGCATGTACTTGTTTTTAGTACCAGAATAACATTTCTGAAAGCGACTTTGCCTGGCACACAGGCCACTTTAATGGTAGAAATGTTCTCAGTTGGGGACTTATATTCGTGCTTTAGAAGACTTACTCCATCTTTTAGAACAGAAGATTAGTACATGTTGCTGGAATGTCAGGGACAGAAAAGCCTTTGCCACTTCCAGGGAAATTGCTGACCTTTATAATGAGAGTGTCAGAATGAATTTAATAATGTTGCTACATAGTTGGAAAGCGTAGGTACATCCTAGTTACTTGAAACTTAGTTGCAGAAAGTGTTATAAACCCCAGATACATTTACAGTTATAATCGTAGGAGACTGAGAGATGTATTGAGAGCCCTTTTAATCTGTGGGCTTTCAAAAAAATTTTAAATGAAAACAATGAAATAAGCAATATAGTAAGTGGAAGGAGTCCTAAAAAAGATGACTATGTTTCCAAGCTGTGTGATCTTATATGAATTTCAGTTTCCTTCAGTGTAAAAAAGACAAAACTCTCAGGAATAATAAAATATGTTATAAAACAAAATATGTAATAAAATAATGTGTACAAAGGTATGTTATAAGAAAAGCAAATGTACAAAAATGATACTGTAGTTTTAATTTTTTATGTAGTCACTTAATAGAAGAGATACATACTAAGCTAATATTGCCAGAATTTTTAGAAGGAAGGGTAGTAAGAGATTGGAGAAATAGAGATAAAATATGAGCTTATATACTAAGTATTTGAAATCATTCTTGTTAAATTAGCATGTTGTCCTTTTGTGAAAGAAAGCTTTGTAATAGGAATAACCAAGATGACACTTTTCAGTGTTGATACAAAGGCAGTTGGATTTTTTATTTTTATATGCATTTGAAGAGTAAGTACACATCTTTCCCTTTTGTCTTTAAACTTAAACTTGAAGGTTATGAATACTGATGGCACTGGGAGACGAGTACTAGTGGAAGACAAAATTCCTCACATATTTGGGTTTACTTTGTTGGGTGACTATGTCTACTGGACTGACTGGCAGAGGCGTAGCATCGAAAGAGTACACAAACGAAGTGCAGAGAGGGAAATCATCATAGATCAGCTTCCTGACCTCATGGGCCTAAAGGCCACAAACGTTCATCGAATCATTGGTAAGTAATTCCCAAATTCCCTCAGAGATGGAAACCAAGAGTGAGAAAAATACAGAGATAGTGGCTTGTACAGCAGCACTGTAAATTGTTGATGTTTTATGGGAATATAGAAATCATCTGTTAATTCTTTTTTAACCAGGAGTAGGCCTTTTAAATGTAGGCTTAGTATTCAATGTAGTGCATAGGCCCATTTCTGACCTGGGCCCTTGCACCAGTCCTTAGGCAATCTGGTGGCATCCCAGGAGGTCACCATACTGATGCTAACTTCTTGTGGACAGCCGATTAACATAGTGGATGCACTGCAACTCAGAACTCCTGGGCTCAAGTGTTCCTCCTGCTTCACCCTCCCGAGTAGGTGGGACTACAGGCCTGCACCACTGCGCCTGGCTTTTTATTCCCTATTAATCTTCATAGTGGTTATTTATGTGAGATTAGAATTGATAGTGTAGTTGGGAGCAGATATAATCATGTCTTTGTGAACCACATGCCTAGTCATTTTCAAGTGAAAATATGTTGATTGTGTCAATGTGTTTGTCCTTCTGTGCCCTTTTATAATTAATACACCTTTTAGGTTCCAACCCCTGCGCTGAGGAAAATGGGGGATGTAGTCATCTTTGCCTCTATAGGCCTCAGGGCCTCCGCTGTGCGTGCCCCATAGGCTTTGAACTCATCAGTGACATGAAGACCTGCATTGTCCCAGAGGCTTTCCTTTTGTTTTCACGGAGAGCAGATATCCGGCGAATTTCTTTGGAAACTAACAATAATAATGTGGCCATTCCTCTCACTGGTGTCAAAGAAGCTTCTGCTTTGGATTTTGATGTAACAGACAACCGCATTTACTGGACGGATATATCACTCAAGGTTAGCCAAAAGAATTGGAATGTTACAACTGAAGACTAGAAGGGAGAGCTTTAAAATGTCTGAGTCTTCATACTATGATCACTCTCTCTCATTTTTAGTAAGCAGAATTCAACAAAAGCCCATAACTTTTTAAAGGAAGTCAAGGGGAAGGTCCATTCAGTATTTAATTAAGTGCTTTTTTAAAAATACAAGATACTTTGCTTGAGTGTTCTAAATCTGCAAGACATAAACTTCCTCTGCTTTGTTCCATATGAGGATAATGAGTGACATTTTCTACAAGTAAAGAGTAAACAGTTATATAAATGGCTTATAGAAGCTTGACTCTTAATTTATTTTAAACAAAATTTTGTAGTCTGGCTGAGGTAGAAAACTCCAGAGTTAGAGTATACCTTTATTTTCTTTTTCTTAAAATAAATATTGAAAAACATACTGAGTCAGTAACAAGGAGGAGCTCCTGACCAGAAAATCTGGAGAATCATCTTTCCTTCTTCTAGATAGCTCTGGGCTTATTTCAGATAACTTGTGTAAAATTTGTCTAATAGGCAAAAATCATGGAGTATTGGAGCCAGAGTTGAATTTTCTAAAGATGTTCAGTAAAATCTATTAATTGAGTGAATGAATAAAGTAAGTAAATGTATTTTGGCTTGTATTGTATGGCCTTCTAAATTTCCTCATCTTGAAAATAGAGATAATGCCTATCTTGTAGGGCTATTTTGAGGAAATATATGTGTACAAAGTACTTAAGGGAGTGCTTGCCAAGAAGTAGCAGCTATTATTAATAGCTTGAATTATGATTTTAAATTTTGGGGGATTCAGAATTACAGTGGTAATAATGTGATAATGGTTATATACATTTTATAATGTATAAGGTTGTTGAGATCTTTTCAGATTGACACATTGAGAGTATGCCATACTCTCAAGAACCTTCAGGAAGCTGACTACCAGTTATGAGTCTACAACATTCTGGTCATATGTTTTTCACTTGATTACTAATAGATTATTAATAGATTTTAAAAGCAAGGTCATTCTAGTGTCTTACTAGAATAAGTTTTTGGTCCTTAAGAATTATAAAAATTTCTCCCTGGCTTGATAATAAAACTTAAGGGCACAGTTGCATTTATTAGAGATTGACATCAGGTTTTTTCTGTGCTTGTAAATATGTGACTTGTATTAAGAAACTATGCCCTGGCTCTTCTGGATCCTCCCACCCAACAAAAACCAAAACATACATTCTTTCTGGTTAGTGTTTTGTACTTAAGCCATGTGTTTTTGTTGTTAATCTTATTTTTGCAGACCATCAGCAGAGCCTTTATGAATGGCAGTGCGCTGGAACACGTGGTAGAATTCGGCTTAGATTATCCAGAAGGCATGGCAGTAGACTGGCTTGGGAAGAATTTGTACTGGGCAGACACAGGAACGAATCGAATTGAAGTGTCAAAGTTGGATGGGCAGCACCGACAGGTTTTGGTGTGGAAAGACTTAGATAGTCCCAGAGCTCTTGCATTGGACCCTGCTGAAGGGTAAACAACTTTTATGTATGCGTTCTTTGCAACTATGTTGCACATAACCTAATTATGGATTGTATTTTTGATATCTTAAGTAGTGCTGATTAGGAATCTGATAACTAAACCATAGGTAGGCTTTATTTTAAAACCCTTTAGTTGAGGGGTGCCTGGGTGGCTCGGTGGTTAAGCATCCGACTCTTGATTTCGGCTCAGGTCATAATCTCAGGGTCATTAGATTGAGCCCCACTTTGGGCTCTGTGCTCAGCATGGAGTCTCCTTGAGATTCTCTATCTCCCTCTCCCACTGCTTGCACTTGTGCTCGTACTCTCTCAAATAAAATCTTTAAAACCCATTAGTTGAGATTTCACTGATTTACAGTAAATTCGCTAAATTTTGCTCTTGTCATTATTAACATTAGGTAGAGAAAGATTAGTGAAATGGATTAGTATTTAAATATTACCAATCATACTTACATGCTAATAAACGCCTTTTTAAAGGTATCAAGTTTGCATTTGCTTGCACCCTCTCTCAAGTTAAACCAGATTCCAAAACCCACTGAAATAATGCCATGTACTAAGAAATAGTTGCATTTTAAAAAGCTCCATTTTAGAATAGTCATTAATTCAAAATGGACAATTAGTTTGATCACTGTTATAAGCTTAGAGAACTTTGATGTTAAATAGTAAACTTTTCAATAAATAGTAAGTTGTTTATTTATAACATGTTATGTTTTTCAAGGAAAGGTGATCCTCTTACATGAATTAGCAAGTTTTAAAAAGCCAACAGCTAAGAAATCTGGAATTTGAAGAATAATTCCACTTTTATTTATTTATTTTTTAAAAGGTTTTATTTATTTATTTGTGAGAGAGAGAGCGCACAAGCAGGGGGAGCGGCAGGCAGAGGGAGAAGCAGGCTTCCTGCTGAGCAAGGAGCCTGATGTGGGGACCTGGGATCATGACCTGAGCCGAAGGCAGACGCTTGACCGACGGAGCCAACCAGGTGTCCCAGTAATTCCACTTTTATTTTATTTTATTTTTTTAAAGATCTTATTTATTTATTTGACAGAGAGGGACACAGCGAGAGAGGGAACACAAGCAGGGGGAGTGGGAGAGGGAGAAGCAGGCCTCCGGTGGAGCAGGGAGCCCGATGCGGGGCTCAATCCCAGGATCCTGGGATCATGACCTGAGCCGAAAGCAGATGCTTAACAACTGAGCCACCCAGGCGCCCCCCAGTAATTCCACTTTTAAAAGCAGAAGTTAACAGTGTGAACATATAAGCATATTTACCATATAAGCATATTTACCATATATGTAATTAAAAATAGTTTCCTTGAAATCACATTAATTGCATTATTGGCTAGTTACCATCTTGTTAGAAGGCCATAGCAAAGAAAGTTTTCTGTGCTGACATGTTGTGGTTGGATTATGGTGATCTTTACTCTAAGCATTAGTTACCACACAGACAAATTTAATAGCTGGGACTAAGGACGCTAGTTTATGTGGCTGCTGGCAACCGTGACATTTCTCTCACAGTCGTTTATCCTTGCTTCTTGTGTGCATGTGCCTGTCAGCTGACAAGTGCAAATACAGACAAAGCCCAGGACTAACTTTAATTTTCAGAAAAGCATGGTCATGCGTTGCTGTCAAGTCAGCCATCAGCTGATGGGCTGAGGAGTGTCTGTCCTCAGGTATTTGATGAGAGGTGGCATGTGAAGTGCTTTCCTAGTCCCACTACTAAGAATGTCTCAGAACTAGCACCCCACTAGTTTACTTGAAAAGGCATTTAGCTAAGGATTAGGTTCTAGTTCTTGCTCTGCCATGTGACTGAGTTGAAGAAATTAGATCATTCACATTTCTTTTATTGTTTTAGCCTCTTTACATCTGTAAAAAGCCTATACTGTGGGGTGCTCTAAGGTCAGTGTGAAAAACTTGAAAAAATAAAACAAAAGCAAGAGAGTATTCTAAAATTTCACAGGGATTATAGTAGTAGTGTCACTGCCCAGCTGACACAATAAAGCGTGATTCCTCGCTCTTATACATATATTATGTTCCCTTGCACTGTGTGACCAAATACATTTCAAACTTCGCTTTTTAACTTCATTTAAAGGCTATTAATTTTTACCTTTGAGGTACTGCTACAGCTTGTTTTTGGGGAGAGGTGATTATATAAGTCGAAAAATAAGTCTAAAAATTTAAAAACTCAAATTACTTGTGTTCAGAAATATATAAAAAGATGTAAAAATGTTTTATTCAGAAGTGAATTGGCTTCTGAGACAGAGCTTTAATTTTTTGGTATCTTCTTGAATATTAGTTTTATAAATGCAAGAGCAGCAGTAAGGAAATCATTGGTTTATTTCCAGTTTCTGGGTTTTGGATGGAACAAATTCATTGGAAAGACTAAAGAAAGCTGACTCACTTCCTTTTTAGGATATGAGAAAAAATATTTAGTTGAGGATACCAAAATAATTGAAAAAATTATAACAATGATTTTGTTTTGTCAAATTCTTTGTTTTAAAGTGTATTTTCTTTCTTTAGTTACTATGCATGAATATGGCCCTTTCTCCCAAATAACCAAAAGTGAAATGTTAAATATCTATTGTTTTGAATTTAGATTTATGTATTGGACTGAATGGGGTGGAAAACCTAAGATAGACCGAGCTGCCATGGATGGAAGTGAACGTACTACATTAGTTCCAAATGTGGGGCGGGCAAATGGCCTAACTATTGATTATGCTAAAAGGAGGCTTTATTGGACAGACCTGGATACCAACTTAATAGAATCTTCAAATATGCTTGGTAAGCTGTATTTCTTTTTATTCAGACAGATAGTATGTTATTCTTTCTATGTAGAAATCTGTGGCTGCTATTTACCATTGGTTAGGTACTATTAATAGAACTTCGTATGAATGTCTAGATTCTTCCTCTGTCTGGCATTGTATCCTGTTTATTATTATTAATAGTGGGCCAGGTACTTGGATTCACGTCTCTTTATTTTGTGGAAATTTCATTATTGTTGGGCTTGTAATGGAATTTATAACTCCCTAGATATTCCTGAAGTGACTTTTTGTACTAGTAAAATACAGTATATTCATTTCCATCTTTTTATTGAAGGAAGAAGAAAAGTTCAACTCTCACAGTCGTTTCTCCTTATGGAGAGAAAATAAGACTGTAGTCAAAATAGACCATTTGTAGGAGTTTAAAACAAACTCAGTGATTTATAGCAAGAATATAAGTTTGAGGCATGGGGTCAGACTGCAGATGGATTGATTTCAGAGGACTGGTCTGGTTTTAAAATTGCTTTTAACCGAATTGTTCTATTTTAAATTGCTTACAAATGTAGTATTTTATATGTTACAATTTTTTTTTCTTTTGGCCAATAAGACTTGTACTCCCACATGTTTCATACCTCTGCTTCTGCCCTGTCTGCTGCCTTTCTGAAAATAGGACTCAACCGTGAAGTTATAGCAGATGACTTGCCTCATCCTTTTGGCTTAACTCAGTACCAAGATTACATCTACTGGACAGACTGGAGCCGACGCAGCATTGAACGTGCCAACAAAACCAGTGGCCAAAACCGCACCATCATTCAGGGCCATTTGGATTATGTGATGGACATCCTCGTCTTTCACTCTTCTCGACAAGCAGGGTGGAATGAGTGTGCTTCCAGCAATGGGCACTGCTCCCACCTCTGCTTGGCTGTACCAGTTGGAGGTTTTGTTTGTGGATGCCCTGCCCACTACTCTCTTAATGCTGACAACAGGACTTGTAGTGGTAAGCTGCATTCCCCACCCCAAAGCAAAGTAGAATTCAAGGAGAAAACAGGATTTTGAAAACACTGTGTAGTTCATATTCTTTCTAGAGTAAAAAGTTGTCGAAGTCCAGAGTTGATCATTTGTTTAACAAAAGAGAAAGACTAAAGATGGAAAAATACAAGTTTTTGTAACTTACTATTTGATGATAGCTAGTTGCTATTATGGAAAAATTGATATAATAAAAAAATTAAATCTTTTGAGCATTAAATATTTAGTGCACAATTGCATAGCTTCATTGAGAAAGGCAGTCAAACATGGATTACTCTACATAATTTATATTTATTCATTTTTATAAAAGAAGAGCAGTAAAAACAGTACAGCAAAGAAAATCTTCAAAATACAACTTCCTTGTCCTTTGAAGTTCATAGAATAGACTAAAGGTAAAAAATTTAAGTGTATAAGAGGCTAAGTGGAAAATGCATATGAGTAAATTTAGCCTGGTATGAAACAGTTGTAAATATATGGGGAACTAGAGAGCACATGCTCTGAACGTAGTGGGTGGTCGCTACTTAATTCCAGTTGATGTTACCAGATCTATTCATGCAGTCATGAATCCAGATTTTTTTTTTTTTTGGCCACAATATCTTCTGATATTTAAATATTAGCAATACGTATTACATATTAAACACACATAACCACACACACACTGTGCTAATAACAGCAAAACACAGTGTGTAACAAACACTGTTGGCTTGGGGTAACCTGGTTTATGACTCAAGTATATGTGAAGGCCCATGTCTTGATGGATAAACAAGAACTAATTGGTAGATATGATAAAGAAATAGAGAATTCAGTTGGAAAGAGTAAATTCATGGCAGAGAATTGTAGGATATGGTTCACTAGGGTAAATGGTAACAAAACTGATATAGGATATTAGATTAACTTAATTATTCAATTAGTAATATATAACATATGCATAATATGTAATATAGAAAACATTACATATAAATAATATAAAGTAAATATATATCATATATAAATATATAAACATATTTAAGTATAACATATAATTATAGTAAATAATATAACAAATAATGATATGATATAAAATAACTATTAACTATTCAATTAACTATTGAAATTATTCTGTGCCTGAAAGTATAAGAAGTCACACAGGAAAGGATTCATTGTGTTCTGACACAAGGCTTCAGTTGTGAAAAAGACTATAAGTTTATAGTTTAATGATTTGGAGTCTTTGCCACATATTAGTTTTGTGTTTTACTAAAGCAAGTCACAAATTTTTTTTTTATGTGTGGGGTGTGGGGGCCGGGCAGAGAGAGAGAGAGAGAAGCAGATTCCCCGCTGAGTGGGAGCCTGAGGCAGGACTCGATCCCAGGACCCTGAGATCATGACCTGAGCTGAAGGCAGTCGCTTAACCCACTAAGCCACCCAGGTGCTGCCCCAAGCCACAAATTTTTTAAGCCTTAAATTTCTCTTTTGTAAATGGGAATAATACTAACTACCATGTAAGGTTGCTGTGAATATTAAGGTATCACATGATCTGATTGCTGTGTGGACGGTATTTGAAGAGAAAAAGATGTCGTAGCAGGGAAGTCAACTAGACTGGTGTGGTAATCAGGTAGACTTGCTTGGGATATTGGCATTGGTGATGGGATGGTGGCAGTGGTGATGGAGAGAAGCCGTGGATTAAAGGTGTTTTGAAGCTAGAGTGAACAGAACTTGTGAATAGGTTGGATGTGAGGAAGAAGAGGAGGGAGAGAGCAAGGATGACTTAGATTTTTGGTTTGAATAGTTGATAGGAGATAGAAGACTAAAGAGGAAGACTCGTTTTCAAAGTGAAATAAAAAGTTTATTTTTCAGCATGTTTGTATTGATTTTCTTATGGGACATTGAAATAGATACATTAAATAAGTAGTTGGGTAGAAGAGGGGAGACATGAGGTTGGAGATAAATAAATTTTGGAATTGCTACCATGTATTTAAAATGGGTGAGATTACTTAGGGAGAAGGTTTAGAGCTGGGTCAGCAAACTTTCTGTAAAGGTCCAGAGAGTAAATATTTAGGCTTTGTGAATCATACAGTTTGTCATACCTGCTCAACTCTGTCCACTGTAGCATGAAAGCAGCCATTATCAAGACATTGCTAAAATGTGTCTGAATTCTGATAAGCTTTATTCCAAAACAGGCAGCAAGCCAAGAAACAGCTATAAGCTATAGTTTGCCAACTCCTGGTGTAGAGACAGGAACAGATCTGGTAAGCTAAGAAACTCTGAGGAGAGAAAGCACAGCCAAAGAGGTGAAGGAAAAGTAGGCACCAGAAATAAGATTGTTCCCAAAAAGAACTGCGTTGAATGCTGCAGAGGTTGAGTTAGGTGAATCCTAAAATAGTAGCCACTAGATTTTTGAATAAGGTGGTTTATTAGTAACCCTTAAGAGTAATTGCAGGGAAATAATGGTGAAAGATTAGAGTTGGTCAGAATGTGAATGGAGAAAGGGAAAGGGAGGTAGTACCTTTTTCAAGAAGTTTGACTTTGAATGGAAGGAGAAAATAGAGGTAATGACTGATGGAGGATGGAGACAAGGGGAATATCGAAAGACCTTTTGAGATCATTGTTTTAGCTGCTGATATCTGTGCCGTATTAGTTGGTGAGTGAAGGCCATGAGAAATCAGTGCTTTCAGTCCCTAATATCCATCTGTCTTTGGCTACCTTTTGGTGATAGATCACTAGTGTTTCAAGAGACTTTCTATTGTGTGCTCTTTCTATAATGAGTACTATTTAATATTTGTGTAGAGATATGTTAGATTCCAAGGCAGATTATGAGAGAATTTTAACACAAAGTACTTGCCGTCAGAAAGTTTTCGAGCATTGTGTGTGATTTACTCCTTGACCTGTGTTTCTTCCTTTTTTTTTTTTTTAAGATTTTATTTATTTATTTGAAAGAGAGAGAGAGAACGAGCAGGGGGGAGGAGCATGGGGAGAGGAAGAAGCAGACTTCCTGCTGAGCAGGGAGCCCTGATGTGGGGCTCGATCCTGGGACTCCAGGATCATGACCTGAGCCGAAGAAGGCAGTCGCTTAACCAACTGAGCCACCCAGGTGCCCTACCTGTACTTTTTCTTTTTCCTGTAACACTTATTACTCTTTGATATCCTATACAATTTATATAGTCTAATATTTATATACTATAACTTCTTTATTATGTTAATTGCTTTTGTCTGTCTACTGGAATATAAACTCCCCAAAGCAGCATTTTTTTGTCTTGTTGTTTTGTGTTTTCACTTATACATCTTACATCTTAGGTGCCTACAACTATTTACCAGTGCTTGGTAAATAGTAATGATTCAAGAAATCATTGTTAAATAAAAGGTGAAGAAGCACGACAGGTCTTGGAAAAATACATGTGCTCTTCCATTCAACAACCTCGTGACCTTGGGGAAAAACTTAACCTTTCTGAGTTTGCTTACCTAAAAATGGAGGTGATAATTTTGGGGATTAACATCTAGAATGATGAGTGACATGTTGGGAGGTCTTAAATATATGTTTGTTTCTTTTCCTTCCCAATTCTCTGAAATAATTTTATTCTTTTACTTTCAAAATTATGGCTACAGGGCTTTCCATAGTTATTGTCATCTAATGCTTATTTCTTTATGTGTTTAGTCATTTATTCTTTCAATGAATATTTACTGAATGTCTGCTACATACTGGGGATCATTTGCGTCGGTGGAAAATGTAGCAGTGGATGAAATAGACATCGGTCTCTGCCCTCACGGAGCTTCTATTCTAGTGAGACAGATACTGAACCAAATAAGTAAACTGTATCACGGATTAGAAGGAGATAAATGTTACGGAGAAATATTAAGAGCAAGAAAGAGTGAGGAGGAGGATTGATTACAACATTAAATACGATGATCAGAGAAATCCTTAGTGATAAAGTGACATTATGTCAAGAACTGAGAGAGGTAAGGAAATGAGAGCTAGCTGGATATCTGGGAGAAGACCTGTTAAGTAAAGGGGATAGCAAATGCAAAGGCCCGAGGAGGGAGACTGTCTGACATATTAGAGGAACACCTAGGAGGCCAGTGTCACTGGCATAGAGTGAATAAAAAGATTAAGTCACGGAGGAAACAGAAAGCCAAATTGTGGAATCCCTTCTTCAGTACTGAGGTGGAATATCTCTGTGGCACCTTGGTGCAAATTAGGAAAAGACGTTTCCTTTGGGCAGTCATAGGCACATAGGCGCATGGCTTGGTTAATGTCGTGTGGACTGGAACTTGGTCCCTACTCAGTGCCCTTGGCATAGTGCACAAATGGCACAGTCAGATGCGATGGACTTGGCCTTGTGGTGTATGAAGGTCTTACACGAGAGCATCGCCTCCCTTTAAGCTGCAGGGGAACAGCTGTACCTTCAGAAGAGAACTGAAAACCTCCCTCCTACGTAACACCTCATCTTCCAGCTTGTGTGTGTAGCTGTCTTCGTTGTGGGAATGCAAGACTCAGATAGCCTGGATGACAATTTTTTAAAGTACCGTTTTGCATTAGATAAGGGGGTTAGAGGTTACATAAATTAAGATGGATTTAGGTTTACAAAATTGCATATTCTTTGTCACTTTAAGCACTGAATGACTGAATCAAGTCTTCATTGAAATAAGTGAGAACATTAGCTTCCTCTTAGAAATATTGAGCCAATCAGTTGTAGTTGTTAATGTCATCCACAGACTTTTTGAAACAAGCATTTAGGGCGCCTGGGTGGCTCAGTAAGTTAACCATCTGCCTTCGGCTCAGGTCATGATTCCAGGGTCCTGGGATCAAGACCCACATCAGGCTCCCCGCTCAGCAAGGAGCCTGCTTCTCCCTCTGCTGCTCCCCCTACTTGTGCTCTCTCTCTCTCTCTGTCAAATAAATAAATAAAATCTTAAAAAAAAAACAAACCAACAAGCATTTATTTGGAGCCATATTTGGCTTTATCTTAATCTACATTTCTAGAACACGTCACTGTAGAATCTAATTGAAGATTAAAACTTGATTAAAAAAAAAAAGTACCCAGTAAAACATAGTAGGAGCCAAATATATATTTGATTGTTTCCCAGGCAGGAAAAAAGTTGGCAACTAAAACTCTGGAGTCTAAGCCTCATTGTATGTCTTAGTAAAGTGGTGATTATTCTGTTGGAAACTTACAGTTTAGAGCCTGCCCCCCCTTTTTTTCTTGATTTACAAGAAAGTAGTACTGCCAAAAAAATAATTCTTAAAAAAAAAAAGAAAGAAAGTTACTCTGTTGTGACATGTATTCTTACTACTTAAGGCATGGGTTCTACTAAAATTGCTAAAAGTTGTTAAGTCAGTATGTGATGGAGTCGACTCCAGATAGTGAAGGGTTCCAGTGGGATCATTGAAATAGTTACTAAATCTTCCAAGCTGGGTATGGGCTTTTAGCCAGTGAAGAACTTACATAAAGCAGAATTTCTGTGTTGTGAATGTAACATTGTGTGTCAACTATGCTTCACTTAAAAAAAAAAAAAAGAATTTCAGTGTTGTGAATACCAGGTTTCTTTATGAATACCAATGAGTTTCTTTGAGATTGAAGTCAATTGTACATTTGGGTGTAAATGTAAAGTGAACCAGGGAACCACACATAATGGAGTTGTGAAGAGTGGGGCTTAGGAAGAAATAAAGCAAGGAGGTCTGGATTGGCCATTTATGTTTATATCCATGAGAAGGACAAAATTCTACTGGATTCAGTAGACTGAATACCAAGAGAATAGAGTATAATTATGGAATTTTTATATATGTTTTAATGAAGATGTTCAAAATGCTAGTAGACTTTGAAGTTGTTGGTAGCACTGTCAAGTGCTGTTGTTTTCTAGATGTTTGCCTGCATTAAAGATAATTACATAGTAATCAGTGGCTTAGTCCCCAGGAAAGGGAAATTTAAGTCTCTGTTGCATTTCCCCATTTCATAAGTTTAGGACATCATCTTAGCATCAGAGCAGAATATGCTTTAGTGAAAATATAAATACAAGGTTTTTTTTATGAGGATTAGAGTTAATGAACATAAAAGATTCGTTATTACTAGTTTTGTGTGTGTGTGTATGTGTGAGAGAAAGAGAAAATGAGAGGGAGGAAGGGTGAGGAGAGGAGAGAGAGATTTTTACTGGTCTTCTCTTCTTACAGTTATCACATATACACAGGGCAAAATAAAACCTATATCTCCAGTCCATGAGGGTTTGTTTAATTTCTATTAATACCAACTTTATTATTGCTATTACTGATAATAATAAACAATAGTTATTTTTACTTTACATTTATATAATTTCTTATTGAAGTGTAATTGACATACTGCATTACAATTTTTAAAGTATCTTCATGGACGCCTGGGTGGCTCAGTTGGTTAAGCAACTGCCTTCAGCTCAGGTCCATGATAGGATTGAGTCCCACATTGGGCTCCCTGCTCAGCATGGAATCTGCTCCTCTCTCTGACCGTCCCCCCCTCATGTGCCTCTCTCTTTTTCTCTCTCTCTCAAATAAATAAAATCTTTAAAAAAAATAAATTATCTTCATATCTGTTGTAAAATTCTTATAGCAACTCAATGAGCAGGACAAGATAGCTATATCCTTATTTTAGAGTTGAGCTAACTTTGACCCAGAGGTTCAGTGACTTAGTTATGATCAAGTGACTAGATAGTAAGAGAGCTGAGACTAAAACCAGTCTTAAAGTTTCTGCTTTGACCTATAGGAGCTAGGGTTCCTGCCACCCAGAAGAATAGGTTATGGAAGAGTAGGATTATTTACTTGGTAGACAAGGAGAGTTTTGATATCTTTACCAAATGCTTTTTTGAAATCAAATCTCCTTTTATACCACACTAGACAAGATGGAACAAAATAGGGTAGGGGCCTGTGTCACTGGATGAATTCATAACTGGTTTGGTAGCATGGTGCTGATTAGTGTCACCTTGAGGAGAGTTTCTGGAAACATTCCAAAGGGTTTTGTCCTCAACCTTACCTCTTCAGTATCAATGTTTGTTTTGTATGAAATTCAGGCAACAAGCTGATCAAATACTTGGATGATACAAAACTTAGAGTAATTGTGTTTCAAATTTGCTCTTTTCTTTCTTTAAGCTCCAACTACTTTCCTGCTCTTCAGTCAAAAAAGTGCCATCAACCGCATGGTGATTGATGAGCAGCAGAGCCCTGACATCATCCTTCCTATCCACAGCCTTCGCAATGTCCGGGCCATTGACTATGACCCACTGGACAAGCAACTCTATTGGATTGACTCACGACAAAATATGATCCGAAAAGCACAAGAAGACGGCAGCCAGGTAATTCAGAGCTCAGTTCAAAATCTGTTTCTTTGGCCTGGTAATCGGAGTAACCAACCATCCTATTTTACTTAATTCTTGAGAGAGAGAGAGAGAAAGAGAATGTGTGTGTGTGAGGGAGAGAGAGAGAGAAAGAGAGGGAAACTAAAATTCTGGACCTAGCAGCTTTTTATCCTCCTAATGATCTTTGACTAAACAATTGATGATGGCGTTGGAATAAAAATTGTATAAGGAAAATTTATGCTCATATATTGGTAATGACTTTGTCAGTGCCACTCACACCTGTTCATATAGTTTTTTCCATTATGGTTCCGTTTACATGGAATGTTAGCAGCTTTGAAATCAAGTAGACCTTGGTTTTGATCTTTGCTCTGTCACTCACTAGGATTCTTATGAACTTTTTTTTTTAAGACTTATTTATTTATTTATTTATGTATTTGAGAGAGACAATCCTCAAGCAGACTCCCTGCTGAGTATGGAGCTAGACATGGGGCTTGATCCCAGGACTCCGAGATCATGACCTGAGCCAAAAATCAAGAGTAGGCTGCTTAACGGACTGAGCCACCCAGGCGCCCCTCTTACGAACTTGTTAGCTGAAAACTATGCAAAGCGTATAGCCCACTATCTGTGACATAGGAGGTAGGGACTCAGTAACTAACAGTTCTTTTATTATTAGCTATTTTTAGAAGGTTCAGAGGATAGGAAATCTATAACACACTCTCAGTAAAATTAAAAACATCTAGGATATGTTATCACTAACCTAATGATGTGGGGAGGCTATTGGTGACTGTGGGATGGAAATGAAAATACTATCAACAAATCTTGTCTATGCTTACACAGCAGTCACGGTTTGCGTACTGTTATCATACTACATGATTTTCTGTGGCTAAGCAGTTTTAGACTGGGATTACTATAAATAATTATTTGTCTTCCTTATAGCAGTGATGTTGGATTTTGAGTGTATCGAAATTTAGGGAGATTGGATTACTAATTTTTGATGTCTTAATATCTCACGAAAAAAGGGTGAAGAGATAATGTATTTAAGGGCTGTTGAGGGATCCTTGAGGGGGTATAGTTATAGTGGTGTTATTATACAGCCGAGGACACAGAAGATAAACGAGATAGCCTCATTAAGATACATGTTACCTCAGAGTTGCCAAGTACAAGAAATATCATTTATTTGGGTAGGACAGATGAACTAAACCTCTCTAATTGCTTTGCTTTGTTAAAAAAAATGTTTTTTCTGGTGGTTTGAGGATTGGAGAAAGACGTGACTGGTAGATGTGGTTTATAGTCCTAATTGCTCTTGTCTCAATAAGCAGTTTCTCCCCTTCAGCACTGTTGACATTTTTTAGGCCGTGTAAGTCTTTGTTGTGGAGGGATGACCTGTACATTGTAAGCTGTTTAACAGCACCCCTGACCTCTGGCCACTAGATGCTAGTTATAGCCCCATAGGTATAGCAATCCAAAATGTCTCTACACCGTTCCAAAGGCCCCGAGTTAAGAACCACTGTGCTTTTAGTGGTATTTCTAAGGGGTGGTTCTGGCTCCATTTATCTCCAGTTTACAGGAGACAGCTGCCACCTCCTCACTCTGATCAGTGCACTTCAGGTTCCTAGAGCAACTAATACGGCCTCAGCTCCCTCATCTGCCCCATGTCATAATAACCAAAGGGAACATCTGAAATGCATGGTAACAAAGAAGCACATTACCCATAAAAAAATGTATTAAGAAATGTCTGGTGAGACTGGAAAGTTCCTTCTCAGGTTTGTAACCGTGTACGTGTAAGCATTATGAGTGATCACCTCAGGGCTCTCTGGCTTGGAGTCTAATTTTCTATGTGTATGTCTTTTTCTTTCCTTAGGGCTTTACTGTGGTTGTGAGCTCAGTTCCAAATCAGAACCTAGAAATACAACCCTATGACCTCAGCATTGATATTTATAGCCGCTACATTTACTGGACTTGTGAGGCCACCAATGTCATTAATGTAACAAGATTAGATGGCAGATCAATTGGGGTGGTACTAAAAGGCGAGCAAGACAGACCTCGAGCCATTGTGGTGAACCCGGAGAAGGGGTATGTTACTAAAGTTCATTCAGATATCTTGGCATCCGAGACCCTCATCAGCCTTCGTTTTCAGCTCATGTGTTATTTACCTTTAAGTATCCTGTGCTCCAGTGAAAAACTTGATTTTCTCCATCCACTTGCCCCTGCATTTTCTTATATACTTGCTTTCTCTGATTTTACTGCCTAGAATTTCTTTCCTTAGTCACTATTGCTATAGTTCTAATTTCTAACCATACCTTCAGGACCATTGGAACCTCAACATCCTCTACGAAGTTTTCCTTGATCTACCCCACCCCAGCCAGGTGTGATTTTACCCTCTCCCAAGTATCCAGCCCTCTGTATCTGTGCCTCTCTAGTTATGCTTAGCCCGCTACCTTACACTTAATTGTTTTTCAGGTTATATTTTCTACTAGACTTTAGGTTCCTTTATGATAAGAACTAATACGTTTCCTTTCATTCAATACAGAGATTTACATTTGGTCAACAGTACTTATTTGCACCTGAATGAATAAGGAATTCATCAGAGGACGTAGCTTATTTCAAACAAGTTACAGGAAAGAGATGAGCTCTAGAAGTTAAATATGAGAAATAATTCATATGTGACTTGTTTTTAGATATGAAATAGACTAATTAAAGAAGGAATTTAAAATTTGGTGTTCAGGTCTTCCTGGTTAACTGTTCTTTTATTTCTTTTATTTTATTTATATATTGTAATATTCCAAAAGCATAGGTATGCCTGTGTCTGTCACTTCATTTTATTTTAAAGTAATCTCAACACCCAATGTGGGGCTTGAACTCACATCCCTTGGGATCAAGATTTGCATGCTCCACCCACTGAACCAGCCAGGCACCCTTATCACTCATTTTATTAATCCATGAAAATTAGCTCCCTAAGAACTTCTATGTACCCTGTGTTACTATTATTGAACATAATAAAAGTATCCTATGGCCTCTAAAAATATAAATTTTTAAACTTTTAAAAATAAGATTTTAAAGTACTCCTTTTATCTTAAGAATATTCTCATTTTGTATGGTTTCTTACTTTGCTGAACTTACTGTTTCTTCCTTTCTCTTCAGGTATATGTATTTTACCAATCTTCAGGAAAGGTCTCCCAAAATTGAACGGGCTGCTTTGGATGGAACAGAACGGGAAGTCCTCTTTTTCAGTGGCTTAAGTAAACCAATTGCGTTAGCCCTTGATAGCAGATTGGGCAAGCTCTTTTGGGCAGATTCAGATCTCCGGCGAATTGAAAGCAGTGATCTCTCAGGTACCCAAGAAATGTATTTCCTTATTTTAATTTGAGTTACTGAGATGATTCATTAATAGAATTTGTATTTTTCTTCCATTGTATTATTTTTATGCACGTTTCTTTACAGTTCTGTTTATTAAAGGGTAGTTAGCATCATGTTGGTTGGGAAGTACTTTTTCTTTAACCATCAACATGATTAGTTCCTCTCTTATCTAATAATTTCCTAATTTTCTTGATTTGGGCTCTGTAAATAATATATTTCTAATGCATCACTTCTCCCTTCCTATTCTTATGCTCTGGTTTATGTTCTTATCTTCTCTGGCCTGAGGTCTAGCCAGTGAAATCTCCTCCCTGCTGATTTTCCCCCCTGAAAAGCTTATACGCTGTTCCTAAATTAATTTTCTGAAGCATGGTTTCTAATCATGTCACTGCTACTAAAAAAATCTTCAGGATAGTCTCATAACCTGAAGAAAAAAGTCTAGTTGTATTTTCACAAACCCATCATCAAACTCAAATAATCTTACCATTGCTGGTGTTTTAACCAAATTAAATCATTTGTTGGTTCTTCAGATTTACTTTCACACCTCTGTCTACAAGCATAGTTACTTCACCTCCACCCCCCCCCCCGAATTTCTGATGTCCAAATAACTCTGTGTGGCCTTACTAGTGATCAGGTAAATGAAATTAAAATAATACACTATTTATGTCTACCAAAGTGTCAAAAATATGTTAAAGTTGATTATAACCAATATTGGTCAGAATGGTAGAGAATGGCATGCTCTCATGTACTTTGGTATAAGTGGAATTGGTAAGATCTTTTTGGAGGGCAATTTGTCAGTGAATTTCCCTTTTAGATAGCTTTTTTTTTTTACAGAAATACCCATTTGTACAAGGGTCCCTGCTTAGCGTTATTTATAATAGTCTGTCACAGAGAAATACATTCTGGTATATCTACTGTATAGAATATTACAGTCATTCAAAAAAATGAGGTAGATTTGTGTGCACTGACATAGAAGGATAATTTTTAAAAACTAAGTTGCATAACAATGTTTATTAAGACCTAATTTTGTTTAAAGTTTATTTATTAAAGATTTTATTTATTTGAGAGAGGGAGTGAGTGAGAGAGAGAAAGAGCAGGGGAATAGCAGAGGGAGAGGGAGAAGCGTATTTCCCCCTGAGCAGGGAGCCTGATGATGTGGGGCTGCATCCCGAAGGGAGATGCGTAACTGACTGAGCCACCCAGGTGCCACAAGTTTTTTTTTTAATTTAAATTAATTTTATATATGTATACACACACTATATTTGATGACAGCTTGCCCTCTAAAAATATTTATACTATGTATACACCTGTGTACATATACACACATACCAATAGGTGTACATACTGTTAAGAAACATATGAGTATATATGTTTGTATTTTCCTCAAGGAATAGGCAAGCAGATACACCTTGAGAAAGGTCTGGAAGGCTAGCGTACTATGTTAAGAGTATTTATTTCTGTATCATTTGAATTTTTATATGTTTGAATACATTTGTAATTTTTTTAAAAACTAGAAAATACTCTTATCTTTTCAGGTTCAAATGCCTCCTTCCATTATGCCTTCTCTGAGTCTAGTCATGCACACATTTATACATGTGTGTACACATACCTCACATGGTATATTCTTTCCCTCATCTGATCCCCTGTAATCTCTTATGTCACCTCTAATTTGAATAACAGTTATTTATGTCAGTGTTTTAATTTTTATTAGTCTTGAGGGTGGGGTTTTCCCCCCTTCTTTCCTTTTCTCTCTTTCTTTTCATTTATGATGTTTGTTTTTCATTTGATAAGTAATACATGTCTATTAAAGACAGTTTAGAAAAGAAAAAGAGAAGAAAAAAATCTGAAACACCATCATTAGTAACACTTAGTAACACTTTGACTTCCATTTTTTAATGCATTTTTTTCCACCCTTAATTATGAAATGGTTCCAACATACAGAAAGTATAAAGTTCCTGCCATCAGCTTTGTTAAATCTAGTGTTTGGGGCCATATTTGCTTCCCTTCATCCTTGTCTTCCTTGAGATGAATCATTAGAGAGAATTCTGAAGCCCTTACATATCCCTTCCCAATTCTTTTCTCCTCCCTCTTTTCCCTGAGGTAACTCTTGATGTTTTTCATTGCCATGCATATTTTGTTCTGTGTGTGTTTTTTACCATACATACACACATATGCATTTAAACTTTTTTTTCACTTTTTAAACTTAATATAATAGTCTCATGTATTCCTTTGTAGCTTGCTTTTTTCAGATATATCATGGTTTTGAGATAATCCCTGCTGATCCACAATTCTATGTCATTTATTTTTACCACTAAATAGTATTCATTGTATGAATCATTCTACACTTTATTCTATCTAAACTGCTGTTCCCAATGTTTTTGGCATTAAAAGCACTGCTTTAGTGAGTATTCTTGTGCAGATATTTGAACATTTCTCTGTGGCCTAAACCTTGTAGTAGTATTGCTATGTAATGTGCTATGTATACATTCACCTTGAATAGATACATCCAGGTTGCTGTTCAGTGATTATATCAATTTAAAATCCTCACCAGAAGTATAGGACTTGTCCCTCCAATATTTGGTATTGTTAGACTTCTAAATTTTTACCAATCCAATAGTTTAAAAGCTATATCTCATTAATAAAATTTGCATTTCCCTGTTTGATATTAACTTATTGGTCATTCATGTTTCTTCCATGAATTGCTATTTATTGCCCATTTTTCTATTACTGATTTTTAAAAATTCTTTATCAGACTATTAATCCATTATCAAGTTACATATATATTGGAGGAGAATTGGCATGTTTAAGAAATTCAGTCTTTTCATCCATGACTGTAGTATATCCCTCCATTTGTTTAGGTCTTGTTTGATAATTTTTAGTACATCTTTACACTGTCCTCTGTAGAGAAGGGTATATATTGCATAAATCTTCCAATTTGTAATTTACCTTTTCATTCTTCCAGTGGTATCGTTAGATGAAAAAGAAGTTCTTAATTGTAGTGCAGTACAGTTTACTAATTTTTCCCATTATGATTAGTGCCTTTTATGTTCTATTTAAGAAATCTTTGCCTATTGCAGAGTGACAAAGATATTTTGTTGTGTTTTTTTTCCCCCTAAACTTTGTTTAACTTTTCTCATTGAGATATATGATCCATTTGGAATTTATTTTTGTGCATGTTGTGAGGTAGGGATTAAAAAAAATTTTTTTTCCCATATTACTATTTGATTTAACATCAGTTTTTGAGAAGATGATTCTTTCTCCACTGTTCTCTAACATCATCTTTGTTATAAATGAAGTGACTGTATTTGTATGAGTTTGTTTTTGGAATCTAATGTTCCCTTGGTCACTTTGTCTTACATGATATTTTATTGTCCTAATTGTTAAAATGTTATAAGAAATTTATCTGGCAGTGTTCATCTTTAGTATTTCTTTAAGATGGTTATTGTTGATCCTTTGTATTTCCATTTACATTCTAGAATCTGCCTCTGAGTTTCCACTAAAAATGAAAGAAACCTAGTAGAATTTTGACTAGGTTTGCTTTGAATTTACAGGTCAATTTAGGGAGAATTATTATTTTTTATATTAGTCTTCCAAACCATGAACATGGTATATCCCTCCATTTATTCAGAACTTTAATTTCCCTCAGTGTTTTATAGTTCTCTGTGTAGAGATCTTTCCCATCTTCCATTAGAGGTATTCCTTGGTATTTGAGGCTTTTGAATGCTTGTGGTAAAGAGTATTTTAAATTTTTAATAGTTCATTTTCTGACTGTGGCTGGAATATAAAAATAGTTTCCTTTTGTCTCCCATTCTGTTATATTGAGCTCGTTCCCAGGGACCTTGCTAAATTCAGTTATCTGTGGTTTCTTAAATCATTTACCTACAAATTAATGAAAGTTTCTTTTTCCTTGTTGCGTTATTGCACTGGCTACAATGTTGAATAGAGTAATAGAATCCTTGGGTTTTTTGGTTTTGTTTCATTTCTGGTTTTCTTGATTTGGGGGAAAGCATTCAGTACTTCATGATGAGGAATTATGTTTGCTAAGGTTTTTCTGTAGATCACATTTTTATCAGATTAGGGAGATTCCCTTCTGTTCCTAGTTTGCTAGAATAAATCAAACTTGGCACGATACATTTTCCTTTTTATATATTGCTGGATTTTGTTTAATTAAGATGTTTGTGTCTGTGTTCATGAGAATGATTACCCTATAATTTTCCTTTCTTATAATGTACTTGACGTTTTGCCATCAAGGTTACACTGGCTTCATGAAAAGAATTGTTTCCTCTTTTTCTGAAAAAGGTTAGTATAATGTTGGTAGTTGTTTTTTTCTTCTTCTTTATATATTCACAAACAATCAAACACTCTTGTCATGGGATCTCTTTCAGCTTTATATCTTTAGCCTCCCACAGAGCCTTTTACTAGGATTATATTTAGTACATGCATAGTTTATTGAGTAAATGAACATGTCTTTTCATTGTTGGTTCCAGTGTTTTACTTATAACTGCCATTAAAGTAGATCCGGTCCTCATCATATCTGGAATCCTGCATTGACACTGTTGACAGCTTTTTTTTCTTAAGGACCACTTGAAACCATCCTTACGTTACCACCAGCTAATCTTTTTTATTCACTCTTACTATTTTAGGTTTAATTTTAATTTTCATCAAAGTGATACATGTAAATATTTGTGGAAATCAAATGCTTCTACTTAGTTTATAACAAAAAACAAGTCTACTGTTCTACGTACTCTCAGTTCCCACTCTGAGGCATCTACTTTGTTATAACTTGCTTTTTTAAAACAGCTATTTCTTGATTTTTCAGTTTTAGACATCACAAGTTGACTTCCTTTGATGGAAAATAAAATATTTGCTGTTTTAAACTGTATAGCCCCAAAATACTCATATGAACTCTCTTCCCATACTCCCAGGATAGTTATAACATAATTTTTAAGTTCATAATTGTTATTTATGGCTATGAAAATATTACCATTAGCATGTTTCTTTCTATAGCTTTTTTTCCCCTGAAGTTAATCTTGTCTAATATAAATATTGTTTCAGTACCTACAGAACAGATGCATCAAGCAATCCATCTTTTTTCTTTTTAATTGGAAGCACTACCTCTTTATCATCTCGCTCCAATCTGGATTTGCTTGCTTTTTAAAGGCCAGCTTCCTTTCACTATTATTCTGGAAATGCACTTGCCAGTCTCCTTGGTGCTGAAACCTATTTACTGGATTCCATTTCTTTGGCTAATTTCTTTTTCTTGGTAGAACACATCCTCTGTTAGCTTCTTGAAAGGAGTTTATAGGAGGTTAAAATTTTTCATTTACTTGTCTGAATTTTTTTCCCCTCACACTTGGTTGATAACTTGGATGTATATAGCATTCATGTTCCATAACTATTTTCTCCCGGTTTTGAAGGCAGAGCTCTATTGTCTTCAAGCATCTCATGTTGTTGGGAACTTTGATGTCATTGTGATTCCTGACTATTTATATGTGATCCTTTATTTTCCCCTCCAGAAGCTTTTAACATCTCTTTTTCCCAGATGTTCTAGAATTTAATGATAATATGCCTTCATGTGATCCCTCTCTGACTTCCCTCTTTCTTTCTTTCTTTCTTTTTCTTTCTTTCATTGAACTGGTTACTAGGTGAGTCCTTTCTCTCTGGAAACTTACATCTTGAGTTCTGGAAAGTTGGTTTTGGGGTTTTTTTTTTTTTAATGTTTCTTTAATGATTTGTTTCCTCATTCTGAAACTTTTACTCAGTTGTTGGATCATGACTATAACTGTATTTTTCTCACTATCCATCTCTTTATCTTTTTGTTCTGCTTTCTGAGAGAGTTTTTCAAATTTATCTTCCAGCCCTCTCTTTGGATTTTTTTCCAGGTATCATATTTTTAATTTCCAAGGACTCTTGTGTTCTGGGATGCCTTGCCCCCATCAAAACATCCTGTTCTTTAGGTTTTTGTTGCTATTGATTTGGGTTTTTTTTTCTGCTTTTAATTCCATCCGTTTCTCTAAATTCTTTTATTCTGTTTGTTTTGGGCTTTGAATATAAAAAAGTCGTTTTCTTTAAATATCTGGTGATCCTTAGTTGTCTGTATTTAATAGTGAGGCATTAAAATGCTGCCTTTCCCATTGCTGCTGCCTGTGAAGGAGTGGACATCTTATGGACACCTGGCTGTTTTCTAATGGGACTCCAAGGTGACACTATCTGAAGTTCTTTTCTCTTGGATACCTCAGGTTTTTTATTTGATTATTGTTGTTGGTTTGTTTTTCCTATAGGAATATCTTCCAGTCTTCTGTAGGAGGATAAAAGCTGGCTGCTAATATTCTTGGAATCTAGTGGGAAAAGGGCACAACTTATATTGGAGAACCTCACCAGTTAGAAAGTAGACTTTTAATTAATTCCCCTGTAAAATCCCATGTATGGCACTACCTCTTTGTCTGGTATGTTAAAATCTGGTTCAGCCTCTTTAGAAAGTATATCTTCAGTCTTCTAGTAAAGGAAGGGAGGAGACCCAGGAGCTGAATAACTTCTTGTACTTCTTTTCACTCAGTCCTTTTCTCTCAGCCCCAGCCATGTAACTAACTCCTCCTTTTGCTGCATCCTAAATTACCTGCTGCTTCCAGTTTCTGAGCTAATTGATTTTGTTGTTGGCTTCACCAGCTGCAGGCATTTAGCTTTCTCTGGGCTACTATGACCCTGGTCTGCTCCAACTTCTGAATTTTATATCATTTTGTGCTGTGCTGTCCTGTTTGTCCTTACGGATTATATCTTAATTTTTTACTACAATTTTAGGAAGGAGCCTAAGAAAACTTGTGTTTAACCCACCTTGGATCTGAATGATGACTTAGGCAGTGCCTTCTCATCTGGAATATCTCCCCATTTTTCTCCCTTTTTAAAACTTAGCTTTATGCTTGCCTCTTTCCTAGAATTTCCCATGATATTTCTAAAATATGAACTAATGCCCTTCTTTGATTAAACTCTCATCACTTAAGAACAATGAATATGTTCTATAGATATTTGAAGGACTATTATGGGGAGCAGGGAGGGAATGAATATACTTTTTTTCTTTTTGAATGAGGGAGAAACTATGGGGATGGAGAGAGTGGGGCACAGATTTCAACACACTGAATGAAAGAATTTTCTTATAGTTCAGCAGTAGAACAGTTGCCTGTTAAGAGTTAACATCCCATGTCTGGGATGTTTTAGAAAGAATTCTTACTTTGTGGTGAGGTTTGCACCAGGTAACCTTTGAATCAGTCATTTTTTCTGTGTTCTGAGTGGCCAGATGGAGTGTGAGTGGAGTGGTTCTTCACAGAGGCCTCAGGTATACTCAGCAAGTAGGGGAGGCCAAGAGCTCAGAGCTCTGGGCTCTATCCAAAGAAGTCCCATTTTTATCTGATTTATATGCTAAGGCTTTTCATAAAATGTAATTTGAGAAATGGACTCTGCTTTTAAAAAAATTTGAAAGTTACAATGTCTTTTCCATGTTTCTGTGAACTAGAGTATTTACTATGTATTGGGCACTTACTTGCTTTTGTTTGTACTTAAATGTCTAGTTTGTTCTCTGGTATGTATATATCTTCTCAGAATGATTTTTAATTTTTGTGATAGATACCGTATATTTTCCGTTTCAGTACTTTTGGAATCTAACTGGTATTTGATCAGTAGTTGCTGAATGTGTGATTTGACCCACATGAATCATTTCTGTTGCATGTTCTTCTTTCCAAGGTGCCAACCGGATAGTTTTAGA